AAGATGGGTAAGGACCGACAGTTTTCAGTTTTCATTTATTACCTTGCGTGGAAGGTCACCTAGAGAAAACCCTATGTCCCCAGGAATAAATTTGGAGTGCGCTGGACAATACATTTCTATTTGTCCTTCTGCGTCTGATGACAGCAGTCATGTTGCTAGAAACACCAGCAACAAAGAGGCCAGTGCAAAAGTCTTATACCTAGAATCCTCCCTGCTTTAATACTGATTCCTCAATGGAAGCAAAAGGAGGAATGTTTAACATTTTTAAACAATTGCTTTAAATTGACAACGTTATATTTTTCTGGTGTTAAAACAAGGCCATTCAGTGTGAGATTTAAAAATGGAGAAGAGATACACGGTCTAACCCTTCTTTCTGGCCAAGAAATACACCAGGTAGGATGTAGGAGGGGGAATTAAAGGGGTCTTGAAGTCACCTTTGAGCTTCCCCTATTCTTGGCTCTGCCCAGAGCATAATGTTGCCAAGGCCCCTAAGGGACATACTGGCAGCTGAGAATAGCCAGATCACAGCAGGCTGCAAGAGTGGTCACCCCAAGCTCTCTGCTGATTCTGTAATGTTTGAGGAACTCCCTAAAATCAGGGATATTTCCTAGTGGCCTCATCCATCAGCTTTATTCTTTAGGTATTGGAAGAAAGTGGAGGAGCTGCAAAGCAAAAGAAACTCAGGTCCACGGTGTATGTGGACACACCGATTAGTTGGATTCTTAGTACATTGGCCCTCTGATGGAAGGATAGAGAACGGCTCTGTACCTTCTCAATGGGAAAGCCCTGCAGCATTGTGTCTTTTACACATTGTCTAGGAAGTCCGACTGGAACGATGTTGCTGTAGCGCTGGATCTCATGAATCACGGCATTGGTGTAGGGCAGGTTCTTCCGATCCTCGTAGCGGATTAATTGGGAGGGACCCAGCTCAGCGTCCAGCTCCTTCTGGACTTTCTCTGAAGAGAAACATTAAGGACACACATTTTGGACTGTGTGCGTGTGTGTATCCTGGATAGGGTGGCCAGACAGCAAGCGTAAAAAATTGGGACACTTTTTTTCCAGGGTGAGGGGTGGGTATAGTTGCCTATATAAGACAAAGCCCCTAATATTGGGACAGTCCCAATAATATCAGGACATCTGGTCACCCTAATCCTGGAGCCTTTTCTTTTCCCTGCTGGAATGTTATTTGAATCTCTCCTTTATTGCTGGGTTAACGTCAGTGGGAGGGTAAAGCCCTGCCAGCAGGACAAGCGTAGCAAGTAACTGCTGCATCTCAGTACCTGGGAGAGATTATCAGCACATTCCACAGAGACCCAGACAACAGATGGCTGAAACTCAGTGTCCGGGCCAAATTCGGCCCTGGTGAAGAGCTTTTCCCTTTCTTCTCTCTGATAGGAAGACTGATGGTGGGGGCAGCACCCTCAGTAACCACTCATGGCCATGAGTGCACTGTGCAGGGGACTGGACTAGATGACCTCTCGAGGTCCCTTCCAGTCCCATGATTCTATGGTGTCTGCTTCTAAGGCAGCCAGGAACCAGGCTGCTGCACAGGGAAAGCTTTACATAAGAACAGAAGAATGGCCGTACTGGGTCAGACCAAAGGTCCATCTAGTCCAGTATCCTGTCTACCGACAGTGGCCAGTGCCAGGTGCCCCAGAGGGAGTGAACCTAAGAGGTAATGATCAAGTGATCTCTCTCCTGCCATCCATCTCCACCCTCTGACAAACAGAGGCTAGGGACACCCTTCCTTACCCATCCTGGCTAATAGCCATTAATGGACTTAACCTCCATGAATTTATCCAGTTCTCTTTTAAATGCTGTTATAGTCCTAGCCTTCACAACCTCCTCAGGCAAGGAGTTCCACAAGTTGACTATGTGCTGTGTGAAGAAGAACTTCCTTTTATTTGTTTTAAACCTGCTGCCCATTAATTTCATTTGGTGGCCCCTAGTTCTTATATTATGGGAACAAGTAAATAACTTTTCCTTATTTACTTTCTCCACATCACTCATGATTTTAAATACCTCTATCATATCCCCCCTTAGTCTCCTCTTTTCCAAGCTGAAAAGTCCTAGTCTCTTTAATCTCTCCTCATATGGGACCCATTCCAAACCCCTAATCATTTTAGTTGCCCTTCTCTGAACCTTTTCTAATGCCAGTATATCTGTTTTGAGATGAGGAGACCACATCTGTACGTAGTATTCAAGATGTGGGCGTACCATCGATTTATATAAGGGCAATAAGATATTCTCCGTCTCATTCTCTATCCCCTTTTTAATGATTCCTAACATCCTGTTTGCTTTTTTGACCGCGGCAGCACACTGCGTGGACGTCTTCAGAGAACTATCTGGATGACTCCAAGATCTCTTTCCTGATTAGTTGTAGCTAAATTAGCCCCCATCATACTGTATGTATAGTTGGGGTTATTTTTTCCAATGTGCATTACTTTACATTTATCCACATTAAATTTCATTTGCCATTTTGTTGTCCAATCACTTAGTTTTGTGAGATCTTTTTGAAGTTCTTCACAGGCTGCTTTGGTCTTAACTATCTTGAGCAGTTTAGTATCATCTGCGAACTTTGCCACCTCACTTTTTACCCCTTTCTCCAGATCATTTATGAATAAGTTCTCTCGCTTCGTTTCACAGATTAGACTCCTGTTTCTATGCCGTGCCCAGCCCCTGTCCAATACAGTTTATTTCAGGGCCTGAGAGAACAACAGAGTTTTATCTGAGGTGGGATCAGCTGGTAGTACAGCTTGGCAGAGCAGGAGTTCAAAGTGTAGAGCAATCAAGACGTTATCTTAGTGGGAAACAGGAGCCCTTTAGTGCTAGCAAGGTGCAATGACGTTCACAGATGTCAGCAAGTAAAGCAGCATCCTTGCAAGATGAAAGCAACAGCGGGGAAAGCGATAGCTGGGATATAGAATGGCAGCCAAAGGATTCAAGGCTCCCCTTTTGGCCAATGCATCCGTATGAGGTTCCTGTTTATAAATGAAGGATGAGCGGGCTTCCTAGCATTGCCCCTTGGCTTGAGCAGATAGCCAGTGTGCAGGGCCTCGCTGGTGGTTTCCGTTGGGAGGAGAAGTCGATTATACAAATACGGTATTTCTTTGGTGCAATCCTGTGGATTTGCAAAGAATGTACACCAAGTCCTGTTTCCCTGAACACTGTAGGATCAAACCAGAGGCAGTTTCCCTTGCTCATCATTTCCAAGCTTGCCTTCCCTGCCAGCACTCTGACCAAAAGAAGCTCTTTCTTTGCATCCACTCCAGGCCGTGCTTTTACCACTGCTCTCCGATTTCTCCTGGCTTTTCTCACTGCTTTCTGCTTCTGACAAACGCCCACAGCCACAAGCCAATCAATGCACCAACCTCCACGTTTTCAATCAGTTCCCAGGAATCCCCTCTTATTTGCCCAGAATTAATTCTTGCTCCGCCCTTCCATGTGACCAGTGCTTTGGGCAGTGACTTCTCTTGTTTCAGCTATCTGACTCCAAAAAGGAGCTTAATGTGCTTCTTTCAGTTAGCCAAAAGGAAGGGCAGCTGGCACACCCAGCAGCCTCAGCAAGGTCTGTGATTGCCTATAGATCAAAGCCACCCTTGCTGGCAGCTACCAACACCCTTCAGCATAACAGTGCATATGAAATGCAAGTTGGTTTTCCATCCTGGAAGCAGAGATGACCTGTGCCTGCCAATAGTGGGTGAGGGGGAAGGAGTGAGGGCAGCCGGCTTCAGCAGTGTTAGTTACTGAGCATGCTCAGTACAAGCCAAGCAGCAAATCTGAGGGGTGGGGCATGTGACCCCGCATCCCCCCACCCACAGGTTGCCTCTGCCTGGAAGTGAAGATGGAAGGGACTGAGCAGCAATAATTGAGAGAGACACTCAGGAAGCACCATCTGCATGTGCTGCAGGGGACAATAGCGTTTAGTGAATTAAAAGTCCTGCATTTGCGCAATCACAAAGACAACTTTACCAGCTAACAACTCTGAAAGCACTTCCCCGGCCAGAAGCACGTTCCTCACTGAGGACTATGACTACAATAGCATGTTCCTTTAAAGGAGGCCTCCACGCCAGCGTTACCCTGTTCCTGGCAGCACCAACACACACTAGGACTTGTGGCCCAGAGGGACACCTGAGAGTTAGAGACTGTGGCTAGGTCTACACTACAGCGGGGGGTCGACCTAAGATACGCAACTTCAGCTACGTGAATACCGTAGCTGAAGTTGCGTATTTTAGGTCGACTTACCTGGCTGTGAGGACGGGGGCAAGTCGACCGCTGCCGCGCCGCCGTCGACTCCGCTGCCGCCTCTTGCCGCGGTGGATTTCCGGAGTCGACGGCAGAGCGATCAGGGATCGATTTTATCGCGTCTTCACTAGACGCGATAAGTCGATCCCCAATAGATCGATTGCTACCCGCTGATCCGGCGGGTAGTGAAGACGTGCCCTTAGTTGCAAGGCATGCTGGGAAGGAGGCAGAATATATAAGTAGCTCCCTTCCTTCATAACTGAGAGAGAGGGTGAAATGATTACTGACAGTCTCTTCAAAGGACCTTGAGAGAACCCGTGTGTAGAGTCAGATGGCTGGAGAAGGAACCCCAAGGAGGGAAAAAATGTTTAGATACTTGTGACTCAGGGAAGCACTGGGAAGAAGAAACCCCGACTGTGTGACGTTTGTTTGAGTTGGGACTTTGTGATTTATTTGGACGTCTGAGTTTATCTGAATGAAGCAACAGTATCGTGTGGAAAGGTGATAGAGCTTGGCTTGAGAACCAGACACAAAGTGTGGAAAACCCCCATCTCTCTAAGAAGCAAGGGGCAGTGACTGGAGGTCAGAAATCGAAGAGGCCTGACTCAAAGCTCAGTCCGGGCATCTGCTTTTATATCAGGGACCCATCTTGGAGCTGCAGCCAGTTTTAGACTTACAATCACCTAACAAAATTGTGCAGAAGTGGGTACTTTCTACATAATGCACAATCTTATGTATGGTGCATGTACCTTCCTCAACCCCCTCACCTTGGACGTCTGGGTAAGCCACCATATAAAGCACTGCCCAGCGTATGGTGGTGGTTGTGGTTTCTGTCCCTGCCAAGAAAAGGTCATAAACAGTCTGGACCAGGTTGTCTTCATCAAAGGTGGAATCAGGGTCAGCTTTGCTCTGCAGGTGACAATCAAAGGTTTGAGGTTAGGGTGCAAAGGTAGGACAATCTGGGTAATAATGAGTGTCACTCTGTACTGATTTGATGCCCAGCAATGTGCAGTGTCTATAACTTTACACAACAAAAAAAGTCTGTATTTTTAAAAGAACACTGGGAAACAGGAATGAGGAGTCCATTCCTCCATGCTCCTTCGTTTCCTCATACAACGTCCTGTCACTCAAGCTTTGCTCCCGGTTCAGGATTGGACCCAGTGTTAGTGCAGTATTCAGAGGACCTGTTAAGAACAGAGTGGGTGGGAAGCAGGGCCGGCTCTGGCTTTTTAGCCGCCCCAGGCAAAAAAGCCGCCCGCCGCCTCCGGCGGGGAGCGCGGCAGGGGAGGGCGCCGTGCCCGGCCGCGGGCCTGCTCTCCCCGACCGGCCAGAGCGCCGGGAGGAGATCCCGTCCGGGGCTGCGCTCTCCCCGGCGGCCAGAGCGCCGGGAGGAGGGCGGAGAGCCCGTCCGGGGCTCCGCTCTCCCCGGCGGCCAGAGCGCCGGGAGGAGGGCGGAGAGCCCGGCCGGGGCCCCGCTCTCCCCGACCGGCCGGAGTGCCGGGGGGAGGGCGGCGAGCCCGGCCAGGGCTCCGCTCTCACCGGCGGCCCGAGCGCCGGGAGGAGGGCAGAGAGTCCGGCCGGGGCTCCGCTGCGTGCGTGGCCTGGGCCTTGCCCCCGGGCTCAGGGGGGCCTCCACCCTGCTCCCAGCCGGACCTGGCGAGGCTGCAGCAGCTCAGGCCGGGCGGCTGCGGGAGGCGCTGCAGCGTGGGCCCTTCCCGGGGGAGCTCGGGCTCCCAGGCGCCACCGCCGCGCGTCGAGAAACTTTCCCCTGCGCCGGGACCCTCCCCCCAGGCAGCGGCTCCACGGGGTGGGGGGGAGGCAGCCATGGCTGCATGGACCGCTGGCGGGGGGGCTCCTTGCACGGCCAGGGCGGAGGAGGGGAGACTGAGGCTCTGCCAGAGCTGCGGGGGATGCTCGGAGGAGGGAGAAGCGGCCACGGGTCCCCCCACCCGCAGTTGGCTGCTGAGATGCCACCGCTGCTAGCTGTGGGGCGCGGGGTTGCAGCAGCACTGGGGGGGGGGGGATTGCAATCCACAGGCTGCAACGAGCTGACACCCCAGGAGGAGAGAGGGGCAGTGGGTAGGGTTATCATACATCCGTATTTTCCGGATGTTTTTATATATTTAAAATATCCACCTGGACGGTGATTAACAACTAAAATACGGACATGTCCGGGAAAATGCGGACATATGGTAACCCTAGTTCTGTGTGATAGACAGTCCGGGGTGGTTTAGTTGGGTTGTTTGCATCTGTTGGCAGAATCTCATAGTGCCAGGATTTGTCTAATTATTTTGCAGTTAACACTGTTCAAATTCAGAACTTGTTAGTGCTTGACAAGACAAATGTTTGAAAACTAGTTACATTAATTTTAAAGGGTGCAAAACATCCCAAAATTAAATGAAAAACTGAAAAATAAACCATTTTGTGCTGAATAAAATGTTTCATTCAACCTCAAAATAATTTTTGCTTTCAGGTTTTCATTTCTTTTTCAGCCTGAATGGATTTTTTTTCCAGAGTTTTCTGTTTAGCCCCTGAACCAAACAATATCAATTATTCGCTCAATTCTGTAACAAAGTACAAAACTAAACTTGTTTAGGGTCTTTCCAACAGTTTTTTCTCCTTTTGCTAGTGCCTATTTCCACCCCTGCTAGACATCATTTTCCATGTGCAGTGTTGTAGCCGACAACAGTTTCATTTTCAAGTAAAAGTTCATGGGGCCCTTTATCAACCGTATCAAATATTAGATCAGGGGTCGGCAACCTTTCAGAAGTGGTCTGCCGAGTCTTCATTTATTCACTCTAATTTAAGGTTTCGTGTGCCAGTCATACATTTTAACGTTTTTAGAAGGCTCTTTCTATAATTCTGTAATATATAACTAAATGATTGTTGTATGTAAAGTAAATAAGGTTTTTAAAATGTTTAAGAAGCTTCATTTAAAATTAAATTAAAATGCAGAGCCCCCTGGAACGGTGGCCAGGACCCGGGCAGTGTGAGTGCCACTGAAAATCAGCTCGCGTGCCGCCTTCGGCATGCATGCCATAGGTTGCCTACCCCTGTATTAGATCCAATGTGTTCCTTGAAACCAATAGTTCTGTGATTCATTCAAAAAGAACGATGTTTGTCTAGTATGATGTATATTTTAAATCCCCATTCTATTTACTACTCACAGTACTGATGTCTCTGAGCACTGACTACAGCATATCTTTCTCCT